GGCACACCTGCCCTGTGTGAGGCGGTGGGCCCATGGGAGTCTTTGAGGAGTTTACGTGGGCAAGGCGGACAGGCCAACGTGTCCTCACTGTGCTCGGTGCTCAGTGTCACAGTGGCAGCAGGGACAACTGCCCAGGCAGGGAGAGTGGGACCATCTGAACCACCTGGGAGGTGAGGGTGAGCTTCCTGGGCTGTGGAGCAACACATGGAATAATAGTGGACTGACTGCATCAGTCCATGATGCTGGCCCACCCTTCCTTCTTTGTTTGCATGTCTGTCTACCTTGGGGGGGGGGTTGTTTTTCTTCATTTCAAAAGGGTGTGTGTGTGTGTGTGTGTGTGTGTGTGTGTGTTTATGTGTGTGTGTTGCATCAGACGTCGGGTAGCGTATGTGCAAGTTAAATTCCCATGATTCCGTTTCCGTCCCTATAGCCCTGGGGTTACAGGCACATGCAGTCACCTCTCTCTTTTTCCCTAGGTGCTGAGGATTCAACCTCAGGTCCTCATGCTTGTGCATCAAGTGCTCTTACCCACTAAGCATTTCTGCAGCCCTCCCCCCTTTCAAGTCACATCTATGTTCTTTTTGTTATCCATTAGCAAAAAAATTTTTAAATCTCTTTTATTTTATGAGAAAAACGTTCATATTCCTTTTAGATTGTTTTGCTGTATTTCCATCCCTAAGATGTCAATTCTTTGGCTATTGCAGGGGGCTACATCTTCCCCGTGGTACTTTGTTTCACATAAGCTTTTCTTCCTTCTGTGTTTACCTTCTGCGATAGCTGACTCTCGGCTAGGCTCCTGGGGGTCCAGTGTGGGTTGTATAGTAAACTGCTTACAGAGTTTGTCTCTTTCAAAGCTGTAGAGTTTCTCCATGAGGTCTTTTCTCGTAGCGTTTTCTTCTTTAATAATTATTTTTAAAAAATTTTATGTACATTGGTGTTTTGTCTGCGTGTACGTCTGGCAGTGCAGGTGTTGGATCCCCTGGAGCTGGAGTTACAGACAGTTGTGAGCTGCCATGTGGGTGCTGGGAATTGAACCCGCGTCCTCTAGAAGAACAGCCAGTGTTCTTAATCGCTGAGCCATCTCTTCAGCCCCCAGCCCCTCATGGTGTTTTCTTAATTTAGAACTCCATTCACAAGTTAATTTAGAACTCCATTCACAAGTTACATCAGTTTTCAGTTCAAGGATATTCTCCATCATGGTGGGAAGGTGGCATGTGGCAGAGCTGGGAGGCACCTGGCCACACTGTGTCAGCAGCCGGAAAGCCTGGCTTCAGTTCTGAGACAGGCCGTCACTATGTATATAGCCCAAGCTGCTCTGGAACTCACTGTGCAGCCTAGTCAGGTCTTGAACCTTGAATGATTCTTCTACCCAGCCTCCCGAATGCTGGCTTTACAGCGAGATGCCACCAAGTGGGTCCTGTTTTTCTGATCTCTTGCTGTGTGCTAGGCACTATCCAAGGGTCTCTCATCTGTGATCCACATCCTACCTGAGAAAACAGAAACTCCTTGCCCTAAAAATGACCAAGGTCAGCTTCAAGGGAGAGCGTGGATTCAAATCCTGAAACTGACTCACATCATCTTCTTGAACAAACCTACTGATGTGTAAACCGTGGATGGGCCTTTTGGGAACACTCAGAGTATTGCATTGGGAGCATTTAGGAAACCCACAGTCATCTCCACTAAGGTTTATTGCTGGATGAGTGGACAACATGTCATACCTCAGGGCCTTCTTGTAACATTCCCTGTTGCTAATGGGGGGGTGGCGGGAGATGAACTAGAAGACTCTCCCTCCCCTCTCACTTTCTTACTGGTGCTGGGCATCGAACCAAGGACTTCTATTGTGCTGTGCAACGTGGTACTACCATTGAGCTACATCCCTGAGCTGAACAATAGTAAGAGTTAATAAGAACATGAAGAAGAGTTGGAGTAGCTCTCCAAACCATTGCCATGGCTTTGCTTAGCTCTGTGTGCATCCAGCGGAGGGTCTGCAGTGCACAAGGAAACCCCCCACCCCCACCCCACTCTGAGCCCCCCGCGCTGGGCGGAGCGGGGCAGAAGTTCCCTCCCACTGCTGGTTGGGCGCTGTGCCCAGACTTGGGCTTTTCTAGGTCAGGCAGTTCTATCTTCAGCCTGGCCCTAGGATACAGCTTGTGTAAAGTGCAGACAGCGAAGGCATGCTGTGTAAACACAGACTATCTCCCTCTCCAAAGTTTCCTTTTGGGGAAGCTCCTTTAAACGGGAGACTCTATTCCAACTCCTTATCAGCTTCAGTTTCCTACGCTGATATAAGGAAGCTATTAAAATCCGTTTCCTGGTATTGCCTTGACCCTACCGGGACAAGCTCCTGAAATGTCCCTTAGAGGAGAATTTTTTTTTTCACACTCCTCAAATCCATTACTCAGCCTCAAATCCCCACATCAAACAAGCCTGCAGGAACTTTGACCATGTTTCAGCCAAACCCTCTGCCCTAACGTTTACTGTTTTGCCTCAGCTGGCTTAAATGTGTTTGCTTGGCTCTCACTGAACCATCCCCTCTGCTTCTTTCACTCACATTATAAACATTTTCCCTTCTGAGTGTCTGCCAATCCCTTCATAATCCCTCACATAGCTGTGTGTGTGTGCGTGTGTGTGCATGTTCGTGTGTGTGTGTGTGTGTGTGTGTGTGTGTGTGTGTGTGTGTGTGTGATGTGTATGCACATTCATGGGTAAGAGTGCAGGCATGAATGCCATGGTGGCGGTGTGGAGGTCAGAGGACCACTTCAGGCGTCTGTCCTTAACCTTCTACCTTGTTTGAGGTGGGGTGTCTTATTCACTGCAGTATACATGGGCTAGCTAGCTGGCCTTTCAGCCTCCATGTATTCTCCTGCCTCTACCTCACCACTTGCCTTAGGAGTACAGGGACTGTAGACATGCTACCGAGTACAGCTTTGAGTGGGCGCTGGCAACCCAAACTCAGGTCTCCCACACTCGCCCAGGAGGCATTTAATTCGCTAGGTCATTCCCCAAGCTTCACAAAGGTTCTGCTCACCTGGGTAAACATCTCCTTCTTCCCTGGGCATCTTCCCTCTTGCCCTTCTGATTATAAAGGGCTCTGTCTGCACCTCTGACTGAAGGTGAGAATGTGGGGGAGGGGAGGGATCGCAAAGCATACACCAAAGATTGAGCTAAGAATGACCCAGGGCTCCCTCCTCCATCGGAACTGTGGGACTCAGTCTCCGGCCCATTCTGTGATGTGATTTGGATGTGAAATGTCCCCTACAGGCTCATGTGTTTAAACAACTTGGTCCCCAGCTGGTGATGCTGTTTGGGAAGACTGTAGAACCTTCAGGAGGCGGAGCCTCACTGGGGGCCCTGACCTTCAGCTTTTATGGCCCAGAAGCTCCACTTCCTGTCCTCTGCTTTCTGACTACAGACTCAGTATAACCAGATGCCTGGCATTCCTTCTGCAGCATCTTCTGCACTATGATGGACTGTCCACCCTCGAACTACAAGACTGAATCGCCCCTTAAGCTCTTCTCCTCCTTCCCCTTCTCCTCTTCCTCCTCCATTTCTTCTGTCTACTTGAGACAGAACCTCCTGTAACCAGGCTATTCTCAAACTTGCTATGTACCAGAGAAAAACCATGAACTCCTTTTTTTTTTTTTTTTTTCCTGAGATAAGGTTTCTTTGTGTAGCCTTGGCTATCCTGGACTCGCTTTTTTAGACCAGGCTGGCCTCGAACTCACAGAGATCCACTTGCATTTGCCTCCCAAAAGTCTGGGATTAAAGGGGTGCACTACCATGCCCCAGCTGCTCATGAACTTCTAATCCCCATAACTGCTGAGATTACAGGCACAGGCCACAATGTTCATTTTATGCAGTGCTAAGAACTGAACCCTGAATTCTACAGCGACATACCCCAAGCCCTTAAATTATTTCTTCTCATCTAGTTGGTCAGTAGCAAGAAAAGTAACTAATAAAGAAAAGTAACTAATGAGTGTTCCTAGCCTTCTGTGGATGCCTCCCCAAATGGAGGCATCCCGGGTAAACATGGTGGCACAGTGAGACTTGTGAGGGAGGGTCTTAAAAGACACTGTGGCTTCACCTGTATTCTCTTGGATTGCCTGGCAGGGGGGGAAGCTGGCTGCCACATTGTCCAGCCACTCGAGTGGCCCTCTGAAAAGACCACGTGGTGAAGGGTTGGGGTGGCATATTTCCATTACAGTTCCTAACAGTAGCAAAATCACAGTTATGAAGTAAAACAATTTTATGGTTGGTGCGGGGTTACCACAACAAGGGGAACTGCATTAAAGGGTTGCAGCAGTAGGAAGGTTGAGAACCACTGCTATCAGTCCCTGAGCAGGTAGGTATCAATGACTGTAACGACATAAGAGACCTAGGTAGGACCCTGAAGCTGAAGAGCTCCCGAACTCTAGAGCTGCTAGAACTATGGGAAACAATGGTTATTGTTATGTTAAAACCACAAAGCTTCAGAGAAGTTTAGAATATAATAGATAACCCATTTGAGGACTTAGTTGGTGCCATGCTTGCCTAGCTTGCAGGAGGCCCTGACTTCTGTCCTCAGCACCACGTAAACCTGACTGTGATGGTGCCTCCCTGTAATCTCCGAACTTGGGACGTGGAGACAAGAGGATCAGGAGTGCAAGGTCATTTGGCTACAGAGATGCAACCTGGGAGATAGGAGCCTGTGAACCTGCCCCAAAACAAAACTAAACAAAGCAACAGAAAACCCAACAGCCGAGGCCGGAGAGATGGCTCAGTGGTAAAGAGTACAAACTACACTTGCAGAGGACCTGAGTCCAGTTCCAGGCATGCAGTCAGGTAGTAAGTGCCAGGACACACGTGCTGAGACTGCCATCACTGCATGCAGTGACCCTCCCTCATTCACGGCGCCACGGGTGCCTGAAACTGTAGCCAGTTCTGGATTTCACATACACTATGCTTATTTCCCAATATGAACACTGCAACAGTAAGGTTTGATGCATAAGTTAGGCACGGTAGGAGATTAACAATATTTAATAGTAATATCAGAACAATGGTAATCATACACTCTAGTCAACGAAGACACTAATGAATTTTTTAGTCCTGGATATTTCCAGCTAGTGATATCAGACAGTGCTGACCTCAGGGAGCTAAATAAAGGTATGAGAACAGGCTATTTTACAGCCGCCCCCAAACAGCACCACTAAGTGGACGCCACACCAAATGTTCTAAGGCCAGAGCCCATGGGAGACACTTCCCATATGAATCACTACAGAGTGTAATACAGTATTCTGATCGTTTGAGGTCCGTTAAAGAGAGTGAGGGCAAAGTGACGGCCTAGCTGGAAGCTGCTAGACTTGGATTTTTCAAGCTGGAACCTGGAGCTCCCCACTCCCAGCTGCTTTGGGGCCGCCCTTGTGCTGGCTTGGAGTCTCGCATCTGGAAGCAGGATGTCAGACTGGGTGGAAAGTGCTGCCTTTATATCCTGTTCCAAGTGCTTCCTGGAAAGACAGAAGAAAGAAGAAACAGAGACTGTTGAGTCCCAGCTTGCTTCTGCTCACGGAGCAGTGAGTCACTGTTGGGAAACAGAGAACCTACGAGGGTGTCCTGACCACAGCATGAGACCACAGCTGTCATGGGAGTCCCAGGGGCTGGTCCGTGCGAGCTTGTACAGAAACCGTGCCAGGCTCATAGATTCCCCCCTGGAACTCCGGAGTCTCCCTGGGCACCCAGGGCTTCACTGAATTCTCCAATCCAGTGTCCAGCAGTGGAAGCCAGTGGGGTGGTAGATCCCGGGCTAGGAGATGGAGGGTTGAACATGCTTTATAGGATGTCCTCAGGGTGTTTCAGGTTTACAAATTACCACACATCAACCCACCCACCCCCTGTGTGGTGTGATTTAGTTGGAAGCACAGGTTTGACTAAAGGAAGGTCAGCATCTACTCAGCATTCTCAACAAAGCCCCAGGGGACCAGCCGTTCACTTAGTATTCCAAGACACTCTTGTCCCAGTAGGAAGGCATTTAAGCTACTGTCGGGGTCAACACCCTCAGCTGCCTGTGATTCCCAGGGCTGGCTTCACAGAGTACCCAAACCTGAGTGGTGTGAAACATCTAAAAAGCATTTTAAAAGACTTATTTTTATTATGTATACATGTTTATGTGAGTGTATATGGTATCTGTAGGGTCCTCAAGATGTCACTGGGTCTTTGGGTACTGGAGATGGGCATTGTAGGCTGCCCAATGAATAGGAGATGAAGAGAGAAGTAAAGATGGACCCTTTAGGGGCTGGCGAAATGGCTCAGCAGTTAAAAGCTTTGGCTGCTCTTCCAGAGGACCTGGGTTCAATTCCCAGCACCCACATGGCAGCTTACAACTGGCTGTAACCCAAGTTATGATGGATCCGACTTCCTCACACAGATATACATGTAGGTCAAATACCAAATGTACATTAAAAATAAGTAATAAATAAATTTTTAAAAATGATTTTTTTTTAAGATGGACCCTTTAGAAGACATATACACTTACTGGACAGCTTGCAGATCCAGCAAAGAAAACCAAAAAGTAGTTGTGACATAAAGGATAAGTAAGTATCAGAATAGTGTCATGACCCAGAAGCAAAGAAGGGGCCTCAAGAAGGGAGAGAGGAGTGGTATGAAAGGTGGCAGATGAGCAGAAGATGGGCTTGGCAAGATGGAGATGGAGCTCAGTTGGTAAGGTGCTTGCCTAGCATGCATGAAGCCCTGGGTTCCATCCCAGTACTATATAAAGCAGGTGTGGTGCCGTATGCCTGTGACTCTACCATTCAGGAGGTAGAGGCAGGAGGATTAGAAGTTCAAGATCATCCTTGGCCAGCATGGGGTACATGATGCCAGGAGAGAGAGAGATGGGGGAGAGAAGGAGAAGGAGAAGAAAAAAAGGGAGAGAGAGAGCAGAAGCGAGCATATGGCTTGGAATTATCATTAAGCAGCTGAAGGGGCAGGGCATACCCAGAGAGCAGGAAGTTTGTGAGAAGATGGGAGAAGAAACCTCCAAAGACAAGGGCTGGAAAGGGTAGAGTAGCAGTTGAAAGGGAGGAAGATTCAATTTCTTTTTAAAAGGATAGAAGTAGAGGAGGCTGGATAAAGAGGGAGAAAGGGAAGGAAGAAAGGAAGGAGGAAAGGAAGGAAGGAGAGAGGTAGAAGAGGGAGAGAAGAACAAAAAAAGGGAGAGGGGAGAAGGGAAGAAGGGAGATAGGAAGGAGAGACAAAGAGAGATAAAAAATCAAGATTCAAGAGCACACTCACAACTGGAGAGAGTGATGACTGTGAAAGGGGAAGTATACAACCAGATGAAGATTACTCTCTGTTTTTCTGTCTCTGTGTGTGTGTGTGTGTGTGTGTGTGTGTGTTTCAGGTCAGGGCTGCCAACTACCATTGGCCACTCCATGCTCTGTTGCCTGTCCACCAGGGATGGGGGTAGGGGTGGAGGTTGGGTTGTGGACTTAATAAGAAAGATAATGTGAGGAAGAGCTGCAGGGAGAACCTTCAGGATTCCAAAAAGGGACGTGTAGCCTATCAGGTTTTGGTAAGCTTTGGGATCATCCTAGAGTGATTGTAGCTGTAGGAGACCTTGGGGTGAGTCATCAGAAACACCCCAAGTGGGAGTGGGAGGATTCCAAGACTGAATGACACTGAATTCCAAACTCTCTGTCTAAATAAAGAAAGTGAAACCTGGGGACATTTGACAAAGTCCTACCAGATGGTCATGTCTTTGTTTTCCCCTGAATGTCATCTTCCTGTACCTTCCTATTCCCAGGAAACCAGAGCTGAAGGCAGTGGGATAGGAGCTTTGGAAAGTCCCTCACTTTGGAAGGTCAAGGTTGAACACACTTGACCTGCTTCTGTTCTGTGTTTATGAGAGAGCCACAGAAGAGGCTGGGAGCTCTGGAAGGCAGAGTCCCGAGCAGACCTGAACAGCATGGAGGCCTTGGGAACAAGGTGGCAGCAGCTAAAACAGGCCAGGGTTTATGGTGTGGGATGAGTTCGTGCTGCCCCAAGACCCTCTTTGCTTAGATCATGTGGAAGGTGTGGGCACAGTCACAAGGACACTAGGAGACAGAAGCCCCTAGCTCCTGGGGGCCCATCAGCTGTTCCGCCTTTGAGCTTAGTGTGACTCTAGCCCAGCCAGCCTGTGACTAGATCCTCAGTGCTTCCATTTTTCCATGCTAAGGACCTGGGCCAAGTGATTCCAACTCACTGTGACTTCTAACTGTAGCTCCCTCATGCAGGTGCCGTGAGAAGTCAGTGAGGGGGCTCAGCACAGCCAGCAAAGTGGGGGCAGAGCTGTTGTCCTCCCAGTGGCATGCACCTGAGGGACCTGGTGGTAGGGAGCGCTTGGGCTCCAGGCAGCAGCAACTGGGTTTTATGATCAGATGCTGAAACTTACCCTGGGACCATTCCCAGGTCCCTCTTTACTTGGAACATGGGCTGCAGTCTTAGGGGCTACACACACACACACACACACACACAGAGGAATGCTCTACAATTGAGCTATACTGCCAGTCCAATGGGGAGAGATGTCTTGACATGGGGGTGTCACAAAGATAGTAGGGTGGGCTATTTTGGGTGGACTCTACTAGGAACTGAGCCTGGGAGTCCCGGGTCAGAGGAGCCTAGAAATGAATGTACCCCTCTGTTCTGAATACCCAGAGCTCCTAGAAGGGTCTAGAATCTCTGACAGGTTAGCCTAGAGGACACCCTTCTTCCGGGTTGCATTGATGGACCCATGATGGATCCAGGTTGGAGAGTTTTAGGGAAGGTAATCACCAGCAGATGCAGCTTCAGGAATCTCAGAACCGTAGAGGAAAACAAGCCAGAGCACTTTCCAAATCTGCTAAACACTGTGAGTCACTCCACCTCCTGGAGAGCAACACCTGGAGGCCCCCCTGGGGCGGGGGAGGGGACAGAGTGCGCTCAGTCCCTCCAGGACTTTCTATCTTGATGTCACAAGCCTTTACGTGTTTACCCCCAAGGAGTGGTGAGCGGCCTAGCAGCTCAGTGGTTGAGCTTTGAAGCTGTGTTGCCTAGATTTGAATCTCAGCTTCACTCCCTCCTCATTCTGTACTAAGTCCCCAAGGAGGCGCCATATTCTTGGTTGGACAATGTCACCCCCATCTGCACAGGAAACTGATGAAGATTTTGAAGGGTCTTTTAAAAACTCTTGCATGGGTCACGGTTGTCCAAAAGGCCTCGCAGGGGGTTAGGGAGGGAGAAGCCAAAGCTGCAGCCCTCCAGGAGGAGGAAGGCTTGGCCTCAGTGAGGAAAGAAATCTTAGTCGCAAATCCGTGTTGGGTTAGGCAAGAAAGAGGAGAGACAGCTGTGTTTCTCAGGGGCTGGAGCTAGGCTGGCAGCAACCCAGGCTCCTGGGGCCACTGAACCCTAATCTGTGTTCTCTCCATCTTCCAGGATCTCCTTCTCCTTATACCGAGAGACTGTCCTATCCCAGGCACAGAGCCAAACTCTGAAAAGGTGTACCAAAAGGGAATCAAATTCCTGACGTCCTAAGAAGCCATGGACAATGGAGGAGACAGACAGCACAGAGACAAGCCGTCCTAACTATGGGCACTGCAGCAGAGTTTGCCAGCAGACTTTCTTCTTTCTAAGGTGGAATGGTACTTCCGCTGTATGAACGCGCAACACGTTTTGTTTATTCTGTCAACCGTGATGGACCTTGCTGTTGCTTTCATCTTTGGCCTAGTATGAAAATGCTGGTGCACAAACCTTTTCCTTTTTACAAGTGAAAAAAATACACAATTATGGGAAGAAGACTCCAAAAGAGGCAAGATGGAAAACTCAGCTAGCAGTGAGAAGGGTCCTGGAAGAGGATTACTCACAGGATGCAACACTTTTTTTTTTTCTTTTCTTTTTCTTTTCTGGAACTAAGAGGATGAGAAGCCAGCTAGGTTAAATGTAAGTGACACTGTGTTTCAGCCACATGTGACAGTCTTGAGGCTATAGGAGCCTTGGGTTATTCCAGGAATGGGAATGGGGCTGATATGATAAGGGATGGTGAGTAAACAAGAGAAGGACATGGGAGGGCTTGCAGCGCATGGCACCCCATTGATGGCTGTTGGTAGATTGGTTACAAACTGCCTTTTCCCTGGGAGTTATGGTAGACCATTATAGAGCTCTAGGCAAAAGAGTGAATGTCCAAATAGAGGTTTGCATGTGTGCCTGTGTCTATGTGAGAGAGAGAAAAAAGAAAAGAGAGAGAGAGGGAGGGAAGGAGGGAAGTAGAGAGAGAGGAAGAGAAGGAGAGAGAGATACACAGAGAAAGAGACAGAGTTAAATGTATGGGTATTCATAAAGTGTGTGTGTGTGTGTGTGTGTGTTTGTAGAGGCCAGAAGTTGATAGTCGATGTCAGGTGTTTTCTCTGTCACTCTCCACTTTTATCTATCTATCTATCTATCTATCTATCTATCTATCTATCTATCTATCTAATTTATTGACAGGTCCTCTCTATGTAGTCTTATCTATGACTGTCCTGGAGCTTGCTATATAGACCAGACTGGCCTCAAACTCACAGAGATCCTCCTGCCTCTGCCTGCCAAGTGCTATATACCTGTGGCACTATATATCTGGCTATTTATTTATTTTGAATGGGTCTCTCACTGAACTTGGAGTTTATTGATTCAGCCAGGCTGGGTAGTCCATGAACTCCGAAGATCTGTCTGTCTACACACACACACCACAAACTACCGTCAACACAGAGGTTACAGACATGCTGCCAAGCCTGGTTCTTATGTATATACTGGAAATTCAAACTCTGAGCCTCAGGCATGCATGGAAGAAACTTTAACAATTAAGCCATCTTGCTGGTTCCTATAATCTATCATAAAAGAAACCATTCTAGCCACAGTGGGGGAATTAGATGTTGGAAAGGGGTGTAGGGCATGAGTAAAGTACCGAGAGACCACTCAGGTACTATGATGGTTGCCTAGACACGATGTGTTGACTGATAACAGGGTCAGTAACAGAAGGAGCTGGGAACCTATTTCAATGACAGAATGCTTGCCAAGTGTGTGCAGGGCTCTTGGTACTCCTGTTTTGCCATGTTGTATATTTGTTTTTGTTTTTTGAGGCAAGGTTTCCCTATGTAGGCTTGGAACTCACTATGTAGGCTGGCCTAGAACTCATAAAGATCCACCTGCCTCTGCCTCTTGAGTGCTGGGATTGAGTGCTGCTATGTACCACTATGCCTGGCTTTAACCATTTTGTGATCCCAGAATGCTGGCAGAGCAGTTGTGCCCGGCCTAACTTTTCTTTTCACTTCTGAAACAAGCACTGTCAAAGAATATCTGGGCAGTTATAGGACAGAGTAAATCGTGTTCTAAAGCCTCTGACTCTCATTTATCCTTTCCCATTAATTGCTCAAGTTTAAGTGTTTCAGCTTTTCCCCTCATCAGACACTATTTAGTCTTTAACATTAGCTTGTATCTAATTTCTAAACCTTGTGTAGGAAACACATACAGCACTTGTAGAGGACAAAAGAAATTCGCAAAACCAGAGATATATCCAGCACTACTGCATAAAACCCATGTGGCTGCAGTTTAGGCAGGCAAACTGGTATTCCCTCATAAGGACCAGAAAATAGCAAGCATCACCATATCTGCCTTTGGTAATTTCTAACAAGCATTTCTTGGAAGTCAGTGCCCTGGACTTGTGGCAGGCACCCCACTACTTAAGACAAAGCATCCCTTCTTATAGGGAATGCTCAGGAGGTCAATCATTCTTCATGACCCTCAAAGTCCTGTCACCCCCTCACTCTCCCACCTGGTCCCACCCTTCTCCATGTGTCCACTTTGCCTGGACATGACAGAGGTACAGGGAGGGTTTGCAGCAGCAAGACATTCTCTTCCTGCTAGGCAGAGCTAATCAATTTAGAAGGACAAGAGTGCTCTCAGCAATTGATCTCATTAAAAATAGCCAGATAGAGGGAATCTATCAAACTGAATACATTTTCACCAGACTGTTTTCCCGCTAACAGCTATCAAGGTCCAAAATATAAACAAAGTAGCTTCAAAACAACAAACCAGTTATCCTAGCTTCATTTTGGTTACTGTGACAAAATATGCCGACAAAAAGGCAACTTTGGGGAGAAAGAGTTTATTTGGCTTTCAATCTCAGGTCATAGTCCGTCCATCACTTGAGTAAAATCAAGGCAAGGATCCAAGCAGCTAGTCACATCCCATCTATACTCAAGAGCAAAGAGAAAACGAACACATCTTTGCTTGCTTGCTCTCAGCTTGTTTTCTCCTTTCTTACACTGTTCTGGGTCCCCTACTCAGGGAATGATACCACTCACTCTGGCCTGTGTCTTTCTTAGTCAGTTCACAATCAAGATCCACCCTACCCCCACCTCACCCTGCCAGCCAAGCTGATCTAGATATTTCTTCATTTGAGACTCTCTTCTCAAGTGATTATTGGTTGTGTCAAATTGTCAGTTAAAACTACCCAGAACAAGTAAACAAAGTTACTTATCTTAAATGGTGTTGAGAGTCCTCATTTATTCCTTTTCTTCCTCATTTGCCCAATTCACAAACCATCTGCTACTCTACTCGTCACTTGAATAGAATGTGCAATTTATTTATATCACAAAGTAGTTTTAAAAAAAATTTATTGTGGCCTAACCGAAAAAAAAAAAAAAAAAAAAAAAAAAAGGAAAAGAAAAGAAAAAAGAAAACTCCAGACAATGAAACCAAACCAATGGAATATGAATAAAACAGGAAAACACTGGAAGGAAAAAAAGTTAGAAATCAGATGTTCAGCCTGCTTGCTCCAGACAGCCTAATGCTAGCTCTGAAGGGTTTTGATGGCCCAGATGAAAACAGTCAGGATACACATTTCTTTTCATTAGAGAAATCTGTGGGTTTTAAAAAGAAGAACTAAGTTTTTCTCAGTATCTATTATTATTATTATTATTATTATTATTATTATTATTATTATTATTATT